GCATCGTCCACCACGCGGCCCCACTGCGGATTGGCGGACTTCACTTATGTTCGAAATATATTTTTTTTGTTATTATTTCGAAAATATGCAGGTTTCCTTACGATGTTTTCCTTCACCGCGGAGCACGTGATAAGTCAGCACAAAGTTAAAAACTTCATTGGTGCCGGCACCGGGGATCGAACTCAGGTTGCTGGAGTATATTGAATTAAAGGCGAGCCCCCGGACACTACAATTAATGTAGAGTTAAATTTTTTAGAGGTAGCATGTTTTCTATATTTGGCCTTTCCGGACACAACTGCAACAGATGAAAATAAGTTTTTCGGAATTAAAACTGATAAAAAGTTAGATTACAACTTCTATGGACAGGAGGCAACAAAATTTAGAAAAAGTGAATTGTCTTTGTTTTGGACATAGAAACGTGTACATTAATTCAATATGAGAGTTTCTTTGGTGAAAAATCTTCGCTCTTCATTTGGGCAAGTATAAAGTGGTAAAAAAGACATTTAATACTACTACTATAATATATATATATATATATATATATATATATATATATATATATATATATATATATCCTACTTATATAAGTTTCACTCATATAAGTCATCATAATTTGTCTGATTTTCTGTTATAAGCGCTAAATCCTTAAAAACATCCTGCTTACACAGGTAAAAAAAAACGGTATGGACAACGCAACATTCTTCGAATGGGAACGTTCGTAGATCGGTGTGAATTGGAAGTCTTTCACTTCTGCGTTTCGTCTGGTGAGCCGTGAGGTAGCCGTGGTCCATTTAATTAAAAGGTAGCAATGCATCTGCAACCATACGGGTGTTGCAAATTGGGTGCGGCGATTATCTCTTAACATCACAGTGAACCGCCATCTTCTCAAATATAGAAATCCTCTAGTTTTTCCTCTAGTCTTTTGAACAATATAAAATTATTTAATATAGTGTTATAACAGGAGATTCAGTTTTAAAATAAGTAAACATTTAGTAAGGTGAAAAGGCGATGGGCCAGCCATATAGCTCGTAGAACCGATAACCGCTGGGGAAAAAAGTTTCACGACTGGCAGCCTTTTACTAGCCATCGCAATATGGATCGACCCACACTAGACGGAGTGACGACCTGTCAAGAGTGCGAGAAGTCGATGGATACGGGTGGTTCAGGATCGTGTTTTGTGGCTGTCCGTGAGCCTATGTTCAAAAGTGGGGGCTCAAACAGCCTGAAATGATGAGGATGAAACACATAGTTTCGAGTATATTAAATCATACACTCAAATAGAATTCGGAAGACTAAGTTTACCACATTAGCTATAAATAAAATGATAATAAATAATTTTAACATAATCTTTTATGGCAAAAGATTGTTTACCGACTTGAAACTAAGAGTCACAAAAAGTCATGTTTTCTCTAATTTTCCACCAGGAATACTGTCATACATAATGGGTAAAAAATATTGGTAGATAAACGGTAGGTACTATACAGTTGGTATTTGGTGTACTATAAAGTGTCGCCATAAGCAGAACGTCAGTGTCATTAGATCTGCTGCCGCAACACGTCTTCCACTCGAATGTGTATGCGCTCACGGTGTACTCACTCTTATTGAAAAGTAATTTTTGTTTTAAATTTAAGACCAGCTGCACATTCCTTTATAATGGATAAGGGTAAGTTTAGTTTTCGTAAATTGATTCCAACTTAATCAAAGTTAAATTATTGTCAATTTAAAAATATTAACTATTTACTCAATTTGAATCGTGTGATTTTTATTATAATTGCAAAGGTTATGAAAAAAAAGTCTTAAAGCTTGTTTTTACTTTTTATAAATTAGAATAAAACTTAAGGAAAATGCGTAACAATTTACGTGGCAAGGCACAAAATCTTCGTATTCCCTTCGCAACAAACTGACGTTCCTGAATGTCGTTAGTGAATAAAAAATATTGGAGAAACCGTTACCATAAAATTCGGCCTTGTCCTAGAGGAAATACTAAAGTAATTAAAATATTAACAGGAAATCATAGTATTAGTAAGAAATCGAAACCGTAATAAAATAAATATTTATCATTTGCCTCGATTTTATTGTCAATTAGTATTATAATTTAAATTATTTATTATAATTTTTAAGACTGAACATGATATGTGTGCAAAATTTTATGCTTCTACTATAAAAGCAATATAATGAAAACCATTATGACCTTTCTTGTACCGTTTTGTTATGCTTTATATTTAATTCATAAATCATAAGACTATGAGTAAAATATATCGTAAAAAATGTCATTTAAAAAAACTTTAATAATTTAAACATATCAGTGTTCACATTAGCCAATAATTTAAATCGGCGATGTCTAATAAACTATTAAAAATAAAATGTAAATATGATATACATACTATATAAAAATAATATGATATGATAATATGATAAAAATAACATGTAAACAATTTCATGAATATGTGTATAAACGTTGAAATCTTTTTAACTCGATATTTCAATCCCTGACGTAAACTCTCTCAACTCATTGAGATAATCGTAAAAAAATTTAGACCATTGTTTATGTAGAAACAGAAGTTGCAGCAAACAAAAATCGCTCGCCGTTTATTTATAAATAAATGCCGTCATTTGTGATTAAGTCATAAATTAGACCACCTTTTTCTAGTGATAATTTTCCCCATTAACATATCATTCGATGTTATCAAGATTTAATCGCAAATAATATCACATAGATAAAAAAGAATGGAATATATGTGAAGTCTGTCAATCCGCAAGGCGGTCGCATGGTGGACTGTGCCCTATTACACTCCTTACAGAGGTGGCCGTTGCCTAGCAATACGAATTATACTGGCTGTTATTTTAGTTTACTAATATAATTTAATATCACAGATTCTTACACAAAACAGTTCCATACTGATTAACAATATGTAACTATTATAGTTGCAATTAAAATACAAGTTAAATTGTGAATTGGCTATTACCCTCTAAATAAGTTAGATCAGTTTAAAATCCGCCATAAATTAATCAGATTTTTTTTAATTTACGCCGTCCTTTTACTTTGCATACCATTGCATATGGCATTACGTAAGAACAAAGAACGAAGATACTATGCCCGATAAAACTTAGCAAAATCCTTAAGCTGAAAGTCTAAACATAAGTAATCCATTACAAAGACATGTCTATACTTTTACACTTAATTCATAAAAATAAAAAACGAATTCATGAAGTTTCCTTGACACATGACTATACCCTGGAATCATTCGGCGCCTGAAGCAATAGGAGAAGAAACTTTCAAAAGGAGAGTGTTCATTTTATCTCGGAGAGTGACATTAAGTACATACGAGTTTTACTACAATTAACTGGTTTCTATTTTCTCTAAAAAGCTCAAAAACATATACATGGCCCTTAAATGAATCTAAATCTACTCCGATGATAATCCTGATACCTCAATTATTTATGCCTTACGCCGGAAATAAATAATTTAATGATTAGTTCTAAAAAATTTAACAATCGTATTTTCCCATCAACGTTGATTATAAGGAAACTATAAGCAGTTAAATTAAAGATGATAGCTCTCCGTCAAAATAGTTTTTTGTAAACAGAGGTCAAATGAAGTAATAATCTAAAATAAAACCCATTTCACATCAATGTTAGTTTTCAAGTAAGCTTATTTACCAGCTGAATATATTTATGATATATTTATTAATCACATTGTGCCAAGTTTACACAATACTATGATAAACAGTCATTATAAGATTTAAGATAAAGAAGCTATTGAACATTCAACAATAATATTCAGTGAGAAGGTAGCAAACGAACTTGTTAATCATTTGATATTAAGTGATTAATATCGGCCATGGGCTTCTACAATATCTCTGGGGATTGCAGATGCCTTAAGATACTTTGAAAGAGTACACTAGGTACTCTCGCATTCCAGGGCGGTTCTCACCGCCCCCAGCCACCAACTAACCAAGCACAGTCAACGGCTATCGGGGTCACGGTCGGTACCGCACCTCGATAGCCCGTAGGCGACACTCATTAGCTAGCGCACGCATGAGCACATGCACATGCTTGGCCCTACCAACTGTGGAGCGCCTCGAACCCATGGATTCTGGCTAGCCCACCGGTTCTGCGTTCGATGAAGCTTTGATAGTCTCGGGACTGAAAGCATTAACATCATTTAATACAAGAATACAATATACTTTGAAAGGGGTCTAAAAAAACTATATGAACATATTAAATATTCATAACGTCGCAAAACTGTTGCATATTGACGCTGGTACAATGTATTTGCGTCAGTATTGTGTTTATCCTGTGACCTATAAGACCTCGGCTCCTCAAACAAAGCACTTAATACATTTCTTACCGTCAAAGGTTTTTTTTTATCTGCAGCGTTAGAACATGTTATTAACTAGTGGTTTTACTTCAAGACTTATATTCTGTTGTTGCTATGGTAGATGTTACGTAAACTCTATTATAATTGGATTCGTACCGACGCGACGCTTAAATCAACCTTACAAGGACGTACAAAGTACCTTTTCATTACTTTCGTGGTAGTCCTACTTTCCAATGTATTCTAATTAACCTCTCGTCTGGCTGAGATATATAAAATAAAATACATAATTTAATACTGTAACACATATATATTTACACTATATAAAAAAATATGTAACAAACCTTCGTACCTAGCTTTTGAGGTCGATTAATAACCGGCAATCTTGTCATCAGTAACAGCAAATATAATAATCGTTATAATTTACTTAACCAATATAATATGAATAAATAAAATAAAGCCACCCCCAACAAGATGAAAGCTCTCGGGAATCGAAACGTTATAAGGTTTTTTCCCAATAACTCGCGGTGTTATTAATGTAAATAAATGTATTTAATGCGGTAAAATAAGATGTTCTTAACGATACCAGTAATATAAAGTATAATTCACTAAATTATTTTAAAACTAAGTAAGAGTTGCCCTGATTCACCGGTATTCATTTTGCGATCTTTTTGTGTTTCAGTTTCGCGACATATGTTGTCGGACGTATCGACCCTCCCTGCAGTGCAGCTGGGCGATTTCCTTCTTCAAATTGAGTTGGACGACCCCAAGGAGTCGGTTCGAGAAATCGCACGAAGAGAGTTGAGAGAGACACCCGATGTGGTAAAACCAGCTGTCGAAGACTTAAGAAGATTGCTGGAAGGTGACAGAACTGATTTAAGTTTTGCGTTTAAAAAGGAATTATTATGACAATTTTTTATCATATTTTCTATATTATTATTACTAACTAAAAATATTATCTTATAAGCTGTCTTTAAATGGCTTTATCGTAGGGTGTTTCGGAAAATCCCATATTCGTAATAGCTACCAAAATTATTTTAATGTTGTTATTTCTTGATAAATTTAAAATATCACAGAATGAGATTAAAAGACAGTATTTTTTGTATTTTCCTTGTATTGTATTTAAAATTTATGTTGACTTTGCAAAAGCTGTCAAAATTTTTCAACGTTCATTTAGCAATATGAAGCTGTGACTTGACCTTTATAGTTTTGTCGCTTAACATGTCTAATTGGTATTCAGTTTTTTAGTCACCTCAGAGTCGACTGATGTTAAAATATGTTTACTAAATTCTTACAAGGATTCTTTGCCTTTTTTATAGTGTATAATAATCGTAAACGGCAGAGGTCAAAAACGTATTTTACGACCGGGTTTTAATTTTAATTGTAGTCAAATACATTCAGTATTTGTATACGATATTTATGAATCCTTCTGTAACACATGATCGTCACGAGGGGAATGAGGCGTCTACTTTTGTTTGTAAGATATTGTTATTTCCAATCCTACGAACTATTTCATTACTTAATACAAATACTTTATGGCACTTACTTTAGACTGTACATTGTTGAACTATTTCGATCAATTCTCAAAAGACAAAAAGGAGTCATTTTTATTTTTAATAATATTAGTTGATACGGTAGAAAACTCTTTTGTAATTAATACATATATAAAAAATGAGTTAAAGAATATCTTCTATTTGTCAAATGCAAATTAAATCAGCCTTGGGATCCATAAGGTAAATCAAATAATTAGAAAATGACGTAAGCATACCAGTAAACGTTGGTTTATATTTTGTTTTAAAAATATTAATCGTACTTTAGCATAACCCAATCTTACAAGTAGAGGCATATATACAAACACTTGTCTCGGGTGGGAATCCCATTCACGGCAATTCTGTCTCTTAGCAACTCCCAACGAGCCATTATCTCTCTCCGCACCCACAATTCCCGAAGAGAATGGCTTACCAACTATGCCGCCGATTCTTAGCATTAACCCCTTTTTGAGAAAAATTCTTCTAGGCTTCTAAATGTACCTTATAAAAGATTATTACTTTTCAGTTGTTAAAAGAGTCGAGTCCGGAAATCGATTTTCCGGGTCTGAAGCGATTACCACTGGCTTTAAAGACGAGATACCTTGCCTTATTGTAATAACGTAAAAGTTTTAAATATTTAACATCTGTTAAAATATAATATCAAAAATTGGATTATCATCAAGTCATCTAACGTAGCCGTGATAGCTCAGTGTCCGGGCGCTCGCCTTTAATTCAATATACTCGAGCAACCTGAGTTCGATCCCCGGTGCCGGCACCAATGAAGTTTTTAACTTTAAGTGCTGACTTATCACGTGCTCCGCGGTGAAGGAAAACATCGTGAGGAAACCTGCATATTTTCGAAATAATAACAAAAAAAATATATATATTTCGAAAATATGTGATGTCCGCCAATTCGCAGTGGGGCCCCGTGGTGGACTATGCCCTGATACCCTCTGTATAGAGGAGGCCTTTGCCCAGCAGTGGGACATGTATTGGCCGTATTTAAGAATTTATGAAATCATTCCGACAGATGACAAGGAGCTACACGTACCCTTACACAGCGAAGCGTGGCTAGTTAGATTCCTGCGCCCATGCAAGTTCTACCCCGAAAGCGCGTACGATCTGGTAAGTTAAACTGATGATAACTTTTTATAATAAACTGGTCAGTGCTTATCTGCCATCTGTGGCTGTGCTGCTTTTTAAGCGCAAGCTTTATTGAGGTTCTTCGGTTCTTCTCCTGCAGGTCTAGTTTAGTGAACCGGTGGTAGTTTTTGATGTTCAATAAGAGCTTAAATGAGCCTATGTTGAATAAAGAAAATTTGATTTGACTTGAGAGTTTATCCACTCTAGTTAATCTTTCTTGGGTTTTATTGGAGTCCGCATCATTATCATCCTCAACATACCCCAGCCTTATTCCCACCTAGGTTGGGTTGGCACAACATCATGTAAGTGGTTTTGGCTATCATTCTTACGACTGACCATTTGCCTGACTTGAACCTCTTTGAGAACAAACACCTAGATCCGTAAGTTCCACAGTCTTGTCCATTGTGCGAAATTTGATTAAAAATAATAAATAATTAACGTTTTATTAAAATTTACCATTCATTTAAATAATGTGTATTCGGTATAAAAATACTATTACTTATTATTGAATTAGACTGAACTAAATACATTATTGTTTAAAATAGACCTGACTTTAATGTGACCGATATATCAATATATCGATATTTTTTTGTCGATATATCGAGACCGATATTAATATTTAATAAATATCAATTATTTTTTTCGACTTTCGGCATCCCTAACATCAATTAATCTGAGCGTGATGGCCACGCGAATTCAGTGCCTTTTACCCATTTCAAAAATGCCATATGTGCCTAAAGTTACACTACAGTTTTCACTTCAAAAGTGCTCTTTGACATTTTTTCAATGTAAAAGACTTAATCTTATTTCATCAATACTTCGTAAACGGGTACTTGGGTACGAGTTTAGGGCCGTCTTGGTAGTTTATTTAACAAGGTGACCTTATTTATAAGTATACTTTTTCTTTTTAACTATGCGTTGATTTTATGATCTACCGACTGAAAGGGAAAACATAAATTATATAAAGATTCGTAACTAGTAACAATCAGTCCAAAATATTTATCGAAAAACCCATTAGAGTTGTGGGGCAATATCGTAGTTATTTTTATTTATTTAATCACCCATTTGAAATTTGTGTGTGCGAACACACAAAACTAAAGGACTAGTACTAAACTAAGGACTAATACTTAAAAAATTAAAACTCTACCATTAACTTGAAGAAACATTATTTAATATTGAATCGTTTATTTTTCAATCTCACAGCGCTGCTAACGGCTGTGTATGATACTTTTTTGTACTCTGCAAAAAATTAACAGACGCATAAATGTAGACATTGGTTTCATAGTTCATGGCCATGCCTCTTACAAAGGTTGCGATGTAAACGTCTCGGAAATTCTAGCACAGGTTGCATGCCAAATCTATTGTAGTATTTTACTTTCCCATTTTAAAACCTAACCATAACTCGATAGTAAATAAGCCAGCATAATGATCAACTGATGTGATGAGCTTAAGGCATATTAGCTAAACGGTAGTGATGATAGAGGTCATTCATGAGGTAAATCCAAATATCGCAGATAATGTGGCAAAGCTTTAGACTTCACTGTGCTATCAAACACTGGTACTCGAACCAGCGATGCAGACTACAAAGTAATCTCCATTCATTCACTAGACGCTAAGCAACATAAATAAGACTATATTGTGCTAAAGTAGGTACGCTGTCATAAAAATAAATTGGCTAGTAATAAAGTTATAATTACACAAATAATTGTTATTTCTAAGATTGCCTTGATTTATTTGAAAAGCTATAAAATTTACATACATATTACAAGATAAGGGTATATTCGTTAAACTTTAGGGAATAATACACATAGCTTAGAAACGATCTAGTATATTAGTGATACAATGTTTGTTCATGTACTCATCGCACAAAATTTGCTTAATGGAATATACATTTCCTAGAGCATAGACAAAATAAGTGCTAGTTAGAAAGATTAGGACAGAAAACAAACTCCTAATAAATTATGGCTATAGGCTACCAATGTTTAAAGTTATACAATAAATGTTATTTATTATATTATTCCTAGCATACACGTAAAGTGTATAAATACATCGATATAAATATTAATGATGCAGACTGCTTATCCAAAATAAATAATTTATTGTTTTTCAGATAAAACGTTACTACGCGTTTAAAGTTAAGAACCACGCCCAATACAACGGCCTTGCTCCAAGCAAAGAGCAGAACATATTCAACCAGAACATTCTGACTGTGTTGCCCACGCGGGACCAACTAGGGAGACGAGTGCTGGTACTGGAACTTGGCAGTAAGTTCACCCCTAAAATATTATTTACACACAAAACCTATTTAGGTACTTATAATAAATATATTTGAGCCGTGATAGCTCAGTGCCCGAACGCTCGCTTTTAATTAATTGTCATCGAGAAACCAGAGTTCAAATCCCCTGTGCCGGCACCAAAGAAGTTAATTTTAAGTGCTTATCACTGAGTGCCTGAGCACTGTGCAGGTTTCCTCACGATTTTTTTAAATCTGAGGAAACCTGCTTATTTTAGACCGAAGCGTACAAATAACGGGAGCGACTATGTTTTATACTATGTAAAGATATTAAAATGTGCAATTGAATACATAAAGCCTTACGTTTTTATGTTTATAATGCCTCGTTGTTAGTACAGCTTTGTTGTTGTTTTCGGTGTACAAATCAGCAAAAGCATCATAATTCCATGTAAGTTACAAGTGTACAAATTAATAACAGTCGTATAAAAAAGAATTCGATAAAAACTTTTTGAAGTTTTTATAACACGTTTTGTTTATGTGCCTCATAACACGTTGAATACTTCTTAAACTTGACTTGATGTTCGAATAAATACTTTAGGCTTTATTTATTTTAAATTAAAACATTATTTAGTTTCCTACTTATCCTCACATTATCTGCAATCAGATACCCACCCGACCTAAAAAATAAAATGTCTGTTTACTACATTATGTCTTATATTATTTATATAATTTAAATGGACAGTGGAATATTTATTATGCACGGCTGGGCACAGAAAATAGATATCTAAACAATTACACAATTTTATTGTCGACGATCAAAAAAAAATAATGTAATTTTAATATGGGATTTGTTCGTATCTTTCTAGTTAGGCGTACATGTAAATTACAGCCATTATTACCGTAATCATTATATCCGCTTACGACCTTAAGGACAAAAGCAGTGTAATGTTCACGCTGACTCGATGTAATTTTATATAATCGTATTAGCAGCCGTATTGACTGCTAGTTAAAATTATTACAATTATTTCACAATAAACGTTAGATTATTTTTATCTGTATAATTTTTGAGATTTTAAAATTAATAACAAAACATTTTTCTGAAATATCATGATGTAAATAACTTATTATAGTATATTGATTGGTTTTTCATCGAAATACTTAACCATAATAGTTGACGAAGACTGGCATCAATTAACTTGTTAATTTCAATCGCAACTTAACAACGCAGTTTAATAACGCTATTGTATAAAAACGTTACGACACAAGTATGTTGCAGTGCAAGCGCTTGCAGAATGAGGCATGTAATTTCGAGACATGCAATTTGAAAAGATCACACTCGGGCATGCGTGAATAATCGACGCGTAATTACGTTACAGAGAAATGGAAGCACAACAAATGTTCCCTTGACGAGGTATTCAAGGGCTGCGTATTGTTTCTCGAAGCGGCGATGTTGGAGCCGGAAACACAGATTTGCGGCGCCGTGGTGATCTTCGACATGGATGGCCTGTCGATGCAGCAAGTCTGGCAGTTCACGCCACCATTCGCCAAGAGAATAGTCGATTGGCTGCAGGTACCTAATCTGCTAAAGAATAAAATGCTACAGCGTTTGCAGTGAACTCGATGTGGGAGGCATATCGCTGACATTACATTTGGTTTCATCCATAAATTATTAACACGTAATTATTACTCTATAAAGAGTTATAATTACGTGTTTATTCACCAAAATGGTAATCAGTAGATTTAATCTTGATGAATTGATTTTAAATCTTTATTCCTAAAAACAGCACAATATACAATACATCTAATCTACCTTTTTATTCACATACCGACTACATATGCTCGCCAGTAGACAATTAAATCGCTTGCTAAGGAGTATGGCATACTATCTTAACAAACTTGGCGTTTTAAATGGGCACGAGTTATTATGTATAACAGGTAATTAACGAAATAAAAACACAGATACAGACAAGATATATTCTGTTTAAATGTTAGTATCATAATTGAATAATCAGTTTAATTTGATCTAATTTTAATTGATGACTATCATCGCTGATCGCTGATATCTTAATTTACTTTACTTTGACTAGTGAATTGAAAGACTATTAAACCATCATCGATGCATAACTCACGGGAGGGCACGATCAAAATAAGGCCTTCCGCGTTAGTTAGGGCCGCGTATGCGATCATGCCTGCGTTAGCTAATGTCAAGGTCTCCGATGTAATTTCGATTTTTGCTTTTTAAAACCAATCCGAAAAAGGTTGTATTCTAAGACGCATTTCAAAAATTACGCAGCTCCATTTTTCTACTGAATGACGTAAGATTTAGACGTCTTGAAAGTACTAGTAGTAGTAGACGTCTAAGACGTACTATAATAATATTTGGTCAGAAAACAAAATTTCTTCAAAACCCAGAAATATAACAATGACCCCATTTTAAATTGTGACCCTACAGAGTATGTAAATCTACGTAAATACTTCTTCATAAACCCATCATATTCACAGGAGAGCATACCGCTCCGGATCAAAGGGCTTTACATAATCAACCAACCGTACATATTCAACATGGTGTTCCAACTGTTCAAGCCGTTCCTCAAAGAGAAGTTGCGCTCGCGAATAATTTTCATGGGCAAAGACAGAGAGCTCCTACACAAACATATCACACCCAAGTGCCTTCCAGAAAACTACGGGGGAACCCTCACCATTCCACCGGTGACCGGGCCCCAGTGGTTGCAACTGTTGCTTCTCTGTGATAAGGAATTCAACGGTAAGTTTTTATATAGCTCTTGTGTTGCTTTAAGGACAATCAAGGACAACTGCAACTGCCACCTGGCTCCTCCAGAATGGACTGTATTACGTTTTTTTTTATCTTTAAAAAAAACATTGCCCTCACTTTAGGATAACATTGTCCTTTGTTGTAAGGACGTTTTACAAACATAAATTACACGAGGAGAAACACCCAGATGAGAGACAACTATCTGTGGGTCGCACAAATAGTTGTCCCGTGTGGGAATCAAACCCACGACCCCCGACGATTGGCTTCGGCAATACCTTTACAACTGCGCCACGGAGTCATCATTCGTTGGATCCGCACCGTCAAATGCTCGTATTTGTGTGTGAATATTATTGTTCTGTTTTCACTTGTTTGAATTTTCAATTGAGGGGCGGGGGATCTCCGGAAAACAATCCAATTATATTTTTTCCTTTTGATAAGGTCAGGTTTATTTATTTATTTATTTATTGTTAGGTACTCCAACAGCACAAAATATAGTATAATTTACGTATTCTTTGCCAATTCTTCGTTGGTACAAGATATTTGAAAATCCCACCTAAAGAGATTTTAATTGGAATACATGGTAACATTAACGGATGTTTTATTAGGGAAACTTCGTGAGGTTTTTACAATTTTTAAAATTTGTACTAAAAATGATTCAAGGAATAAAATTTATATTTTTTCGACAACTGAAAAGATCTAATTGGAAATAAATCGTTGCGAGGAAACCGCATTGTTTTTAAAAATGATAAGAAATAATTTTTATTTTACTTATAAAAACACCACCGTTCAAGGGGTTATGCATACATATATAAATGAATACTTTTTTTTGTTTCAGCTATCAACTCTTACGGGTACAAAAAGAAGTAATCGATGATGTTGCATTCATTCGTCGGAGCATCTTTTTTATCGAATTCAAACGTCTGCGCAATAGACTGTCCTAATTATCATCGACTGAAATTAAACATTAATGACTTGACAAAACGTGATATTATCTAATAATAAAGTTATATACATGTACAAAAGTAGTTTTAGGAACTTTATTATTGGTGTTTAAGTGTCACAAAAGCAGCAAAGCTATAATAAACAGTCACAAATCGTTTTTTAACAGTGCCTGATCAACCACATAGCAAGAGTAGCAATTTCTACGGGCCCCACGCCACAGGAGATACATTTCTGCCTGAGATATAATTTTTTTTGAGGGAAACTTATTAAATAAATAAGAGTATTGAATTACTTTTTTTTTCTTTGACTGTTTGAAAGAAGTTTGCTACGGGCCCCGCGCTCGCTTAATCTGGCACTGTTTTTTACCTTACAAGCTAAGATCCAAGCTCGAAGTTTTTAGGCGCAATGATCACATTTGTATTGAGATCAATCTATCACAATGCTAGTATTATATCCACATAACATGTTTTGTAATAATACCTCGGTTATATGTTTACATTTAGAATATTTCCATAGGCAGGTGATATGGATTTTAATATTTGTTATAAAAATATTTCTATATTATATTATACATTTATTTTATCTTTTTGGAATAACCTTTTGTTCTGTGATAGTACATTTCTTGTTGGGAAAAGAGAAGTAGGAAAATACTGATACTGATTACTTTCTTTCAAATAATTATACAATATAGAATTAATTGCTGCCAAAAATTCGTCAAATCGAATACTCCCATCACTTTCTATTTTACCTAACATTAAAAGGCTGTGATTTCATAAAATATTATATTAACAAAAAAGAAATTAGCTAGGTCAATACCCTTTGTTTTCTAATTGCATCAAGACTAAAAATACAATCAACAAATTTAATGATAAAAATTAAAAACTATTATGGCGTTCCATTATTTACGATATTAGTTTTTAATCTTAAATTAAATGTTAATAAAAACAGGGTCAAGCGGAGCTTTCCCGTCGGAAAAATATTTCCTAAAATTTTAAGTCCAGCCCTAAGGTGAATCTGTCCTATTTGGAGGAATACCATATTTTTCTATGATGTGGACATTTTCTGCCATTCGTTTTCGAAGTCTGCAGAAAACACAGTCTACCAATTAATATCTTCAGTTAATCGTGGCCCTTATCATCATCTACATTTATGTCGACACTAGACATTATCCATTACGTTACTCACGTATTTGATTTCATACAAAAAGTGAGTAATGTTATTTGTGTAGGGTTATTTCGTTCGAGTTTTGTTTTGTTTTGTTAGTGAATTGATTGCCCCCTTTTATGATTTCGCCGGGATATAGCGTTAGACATAATAACGCAGTAATAACTTGCCATAGGATAAAACAAATTAGCAGAGAATAATTTCCCGTTTTCAATTTCACAACTTACCTTGAGAAAACTTGAAAAACACTAAAAGTAAATTCAAAGAACGTTTTAGTACATCAACGAAATTGCATCCTATCCAAATTGCTTCTAAATCAAACTGTTTAACTTTATAGAATGAATATTTTGTTTTTCTACCCACATTAAATGTTTAGCCTGGCATTATAGAATAGGAGTTATAACCATTTGATTGAATTGCGCCGATTGACCTCACTAATAAAAATAAAAATGTTAATGATTAACATTAATTAAACAGGGATCTTCACCCTCATGTGGGGACATTTAAATAATCGATAATGGTTAGACATAAAACTGGATATTGTAACTAATTCTCGTACAATAAATTTACAAGTAACAAAAAGGCAGTATGCTACTGTTTAACTGTAATATATGTTATATTAAATACGCCGATTGTTGGAACATTAAGTGTTTAATTTATTTTAAAATACATTACCTACAATTAACCCTAAGCGTTAATTAATATAAATAGAGAAATTAAAAACAAAAATTCAACACAGTATTTTTATTTTCACAAATTTAGTTCTAACAATTAGTATGGTGACGTCATTACAGATTGAATAATTACCGGAACATTTCAGTAATATATCAGTTGTAGCACTTATTTTCATTATAATCAATTATTACTGAGTTTAGAAAAGAGAATCAAGAAAACATTTTTTCCGAAAAAGTAAGTTTTTACAAAGATGATTAATGTTATGAAAAATCCACGTTTACTGTTACACTAAAAATTATGTAGTCTAGCGCGTGTTATGGAAAAAAAATTCAGTCATAATTTTAATTTTATAAAAATATGCTATAACTTTTTTGGAAATCTGAGTGAGCCTTCTTATTTTTATCTATACAGATAAATGAAATTGGAGTGTCTGTTTGTAATATTAAAATAACTGCTTTTTACTAAATGCATATGGATGTGTGTATACATACCAAAATAATATACAAAGTAATTATTTTTACAATTTTTGTCTGTCTGTCTGTCTGTTTGTTCCGGCTAATCTCTGAAACGGCTGGACTGATTTCAACGAAACTTTCACTGGCAGATAGCTGATGTAATAAGGAGTAACTTAGGCTACTTTTATTTTAGATTTTTTTTATTTAAAATTCCACGCGGACGAAGCCGCGGGCACAGCTAAGAATCAATAATCTTAGGGCTAAGATTGTTAAAGATATGTTGACAAAAAAATTGTCCGTGGCAAAAACATCATATTGAAAGAAACTAAATATTCGTTCGTTTCAATACGATTACCTGAGTATAACATTAAAAACCTTTGTCTTAACGGATATTATTATACTTATTTGATTTGATTTGATAGTATTGACTATATTATTAATATATTAGTTTATCTATCAAATCTATAACTACTACAAGTTACATACGTTATATTTATAGTATACTACAAGTATACTATACATATAGATAGCTATAAATTTATGGACTTCGAAAAAGGAGGCCGTTCTCAAATCAGTAGTATTTTTTGAACTACGCTTTTGAATTTATGAACCGATTTTAACTCCCATGTGGGTTGGGTTCAACTAAGTTCCCATGTGGTCCCACATTAATTTCACTGGTATTAGACATTGGGCTCTGGAGATACATCCAGTGACTGGGATATTTGAAGTCGGCCGTTTTGATTATTATTAAAAAAAAAGTCGTGTATCATTCGTTAGTCTTATTCGTATGTAACACATCAATGGCGGTTAATTCAAAAGTCATTCTCTATGAATCTAACATTAATAAAATTATATTATATAATAAAGTGATTAAATATAGTTTCATACCTGTATTCCGTATGAGTGTACATTAAGGAGTGTTTATGAAACACAGTAAATTAAGCAAAGTTTAGAGTAATAAGTCGTATTAACATTGTGAAGGAGCATTTATGGAAATCATGCTTTATACAGCGTGTCGTTACAACCGCGACAATAAATTAACACACGTCTAACGCTACTTGCCAATAATCATAAAAAAAATACAAAACGTAAAAAAATCCATAATTAAAAAAATATATTTTTCAAACAAATTAATTAAATATAAGAAAAAAATTTGTAACACCTATACAAGAAGATTTTTTGACAAGTGCCCAAATTTACACAGGAGGTTCAGACTCTGTAGTATAATCGTTTATTGAAATAAATAACAGTTTTTTTTTCTAAAAAAAATGTCATTCTGTTCCCTAAGAAACAGAACGTGTTGACAATGCGGTAGTCATTGATAAATACCTAAATTTTACTGTGCACGAACTTGTATGCGTGTTAGTTATGAATGATCGCGCGTTAAATAAATGAGTTGCATACAAATCACGCACTTTTTGAGATAAGTTCAAATTAATGTAAATCAAATTAAGTAATTAATTACTTAAGAGTGATTATAAATATTTATCATTTTTAATATAACATTATTTATATCTAGAATTTAATAAATAAAATGGATACACTTATAAAAGCCACACTGTATACCTACAACTGACTGATTCATACATTCAGACACTTTTTCATTCGTTGCCGCAGCGTGGCGCTACAAACCTCTACCCTCCTTCTAACAGTATGTTTTATCTCTTTCAAATTCATTCAACCCATTCATATGCTTTGTGACCTTTACAAATGAACTTTACGTTACCGTTTTATACGTAAGGTTGTTCTTAAACTGTTTGTTTTGGAAAATTTAATAACTCGGTAAATATTGATGGTTAAAGAATGTAAATGTTTAATACAATTTTTAAAATTATCCTCTAGATATGTGTTCATTTACTGTCGCGATGGTAACGACACGCTGTATATGTGGGTGCACAAAAACTCACCCGAATTTTAATTCGAACAGATGACTTAGGAACGTAAACAAATGAAATTAGTTTTATAAACTTATATATAAATTTTACCCTGTAAATAAAATTTAATAGAACATCATAGCAAGAATATATTTTTTAGACAAATTCACTGGGCAAGATAACATATTTTATAACATATGTTAACATTAAATAATTTTAGTTTTAGGCAACCGACGTGGAAAGATGAGTTCTCGATAAGAGGTTAAAATCATAAAACGGCAAACAGATTCATAAAAATACCATCGAATTAACTTATCATAATTTCCTTAACATTTCTTTTATAATTGACCAACTTTAGTTATGTTCATAAGTTCTTTGTCTTAATATAGTATTATGTTTATAAAGGCAACATTTAATCAGCTTCAACAGCCCGTTAGACGTCACTTGTTATTGTTGGACACATAACCGTAGGAATTTGCCACTGAAAGAAAAAATGACATACAGAAAATATGATTAATACAATTATCATTTATTAAAAATATGTAATTGTACTTTACAGACAAGCGGTTATTTTGGTTTAAACTATTAATTTTCTTCTTAGAGTTGCTATGTATTTTTCTTATAAAATGAGTTACAATTACAATTTAAAACGGTCAGGTAACATTAATCGTATTTGTAGCAATAAACAATATAATAAAGCTTATTTTTATCAAGAACGAATCCTCGAAATAACACCTAGTCTCAGTCGGGTAATTATTGTAATGACCACGGCTGTTTCGGTGCAAAATCCGCACGTCTGGCAGTGGGTTTTTTGGAAGGCACTGGCAAATAAAAAACGCTGACAGTTCTTCTGATGCCAAGTAATTAGCACTCGTGAACATTATAACATCTATGGGTAGCAAATCTTTAAGAGGATGAGCCCGATTAAAATTAGTTCAAGAGCATAAACACTTTAATCCGGTCTTCTGTGAAACCGTCATATTTCCCTAGACAAATGGTAAAAAAAAGATTCAAGGATAAATTGCTACATTATAAAACAGCTGACCTAATTGGTGAGAGTTTATGCAATTTCTTAATGCATTCTGGTCAGTCTAATAACAAGCCAATAACCGTCTCCGTTACATAGATAACCGTCGTACATTATTCCTCAAAAAAAATCAATAATTATTCTTAAAACGACTACGTTTATTAGGTATTGGAGAGTTCATCTTTTATCAAAATTTGATGAGCCTGTTATTTCCGTTATTCGTATACATTTATTTCTTGTTGTATTTTTTGGCTTTAAGTTTTAATTTGCAAACTTTTAGTACCATCAGTACTCTCTAGTACCATTTTAGTACATAAGCCTATGTCCGATCTTATAACAAAATAATTATTGTACCAACATATACCACAAAAGCGTTTAGTTTCGGCTCTAATCCGCATAAATTTTCTGAATGTGCGTCATCCAATACCTTTGAAATTTTCCTCGTAATGGTGCAGCATTTTCCACAGCACTTCGCCAGTGATCTCCGGTTCCGAGAGCGAGCCACCATGCCGCTTCCTTAACGCTCTAGGGTCCACGTGAGCCAACAGCGCCTGGCTATCCGATCCGTGGAAGTGGATCCGAGATCGCAACTTTTCGCGCAAGAACGGCTTGAAAATGGCGAATAGCATGTTGAAAATGTACGGCTGGTTGACTATGTGGACCGCCTTCAGCCTGATCGGTATGCAATCCTGCGAACAAGTATTTAAACACACGATTATATTTTTGATTTCACATGTAGTCGAACGGATTACCTGCGGTCGCAACAAGAAAAGGCAATTCTCAAAGTAAAACGTAAACTAGAGCCATAATATTTGTCATAACTCTGGCACATAATTATCTTCGAAATGTTTCTAAACTATATTGAATTAAAAGATAAACAATATTAAAAAATAAACTATATTGAATTAAAATCGAGCGCCCGGATACTGGGACATCACGGCAGTTGTAATGAAAGCTTAATTTGCAAAGCAGGCAAAAATAAATTATAATTAATTATTAAATAATTTTAAGTTATATTAAGTGTTAAAAAACTTCTACTGTTGGCATTTTAAAGATAATAAAGATATGCTACAGAAGACATAAACAGACATAAATTTACATAATAGCGTTTTCAACTTTTTCATCGCGTTGTTGTAAATAATTAGCAAAGATTTCGCAAAGAATTGCGTCGTAGGTATATAATTGTATATTGTAAGCAAACAATTTACTTGCAATTTTTCATAACACTGCACTTGCTTCGTGAACGATGATGTGCTACTATATATGATATACGATGATGTGTACTATCATAATCATTCAAGAAGTGTCAATTAACCAAGCGATCGGTTATCAAGATCCTAAGATGGTTATATTAACGTACCATAAACAAAATAATTGCCTGTATGATCTTTGAGAAGGTTAGCCAACCAAAACAATGTTTGAAAAAAAACAATGTTTCCGCATACCTGAATCCAATCGACAACCATTTTGGCGAAGGATGGCGTGAATTGCATAACTTGGGAGAACGATAGACCTTTCATGTCAAGGATCACAATGACCCCATTGATCTGCGTCTTGGGCTCCGACATGGCCGACTCCAGGGCCAATTGTACTCCCCGAAACACTTCTTTTAAGGGCACCAGACGTGGCTGCCAGCGGTCTATAAAATGTAAATATCGATTCCAATTTGAATATTGTGACTAAACACACACGTCACATTTAATAAAATAACCACATTCTAAGATGAAAAAATCTAAACACTACATCAAAATATAAAATCTAAAAACTAATAATAATTGTGCAACAAGTGCTGTTATATAACCATTTACTCTACAATATTTGATTCATCATCAATCATAAAAATTATTCGATTGATACAAATATTATTAGGAAACCGATACTATGTTGCAAAGTTTATTCAGTGACAAACTTTTCTCAAACTGGTTATAACATGGATATAAAAGTAGTCCATAATGTTACTTAAATAATGATAACTCTCTAACTGTAACATTAAAACGGGTCTAATAATTATAACTATTTATGATATATCTATCTGCATGATAAAAAATAGATACTGGATAATATATAAATAACCAACCAAATATTTTTCAACGAAAATATTCCGATTAGTTTTTGACGACTATTCCACTTGAATAAATAATTCATGGCCATTATAATGTTCAAACAGCAAACCAAGTTCTACCGGTAAATCGATCAGAAAAAATATTTGCATGTTTACAAATTACTTTAGCTAAGTTTGAATTAATCCGAGGATTTATTATTCGTTTCCATTGCTATTTCTGAATAAGAGAATAGAAATTTCACAAAATAAAAAAGCGATAAAATCCGTAAACTAGTTTCATTCAATATGTATAATATTCGCGTAAAATCAAGAAAACAATATACATGTATTAATGAACATGTATTATACCACCAGATTCCACCAGCATTATACGTCGTCCGTGCTGATCTCTTGGCGCCAATATGGATATAATGGAGTGGTCGAATGCAGAGCGCACCGCACTAGGGAGAAGGTTGCAACAGTAACTCTCATGTGACCTCCTAAACTTGTAATAGGCTTGTATCTAGAAGGGAGATATAAAAACTACATGTAGTAAATTAACAGAAAAATAAATGTAATTCTTCTATTCGCTTTTATTTATTATTTATTTATTAATAATTATTCGCTTTACCAAAAGCGATCTCGGTGAATCAATTATTAATATGAAACCTTAACAATCTCGAATAAATTGTGTTGCTGGCGAGTTAATACATAATTTAAAACATGCATATCATCTATTTCGTACATAACATCCACGAATCAACATGTAATTTAAGAACAAATCAATAATATTAGCTTGACGTAACATGTTTATTTTTCTAATGTGTTCATTTTCTGTAAAGGTTTAAAAACATCGTCAAAAGTATTTAAAATATAAATTTGCCTTATTTCGAATATTCTCCTTACAAAAAGAAGTGTTCGACTTTATTTTGCCTTGTCGTTGAAAAATAAAGCCTTAAATTGGCGGTAGTTCAAAGCGGTTCAAAGCGGATAGTTATCTTGTTGCACCAAATCTGATCTTCGAACTACTGAAAAATTTTAATATCACCAAAGGATTTGTTACAGCTCCATCAAACTAAACTCAATGAAAATTCACGTGTAGAAGAGAGAAAAAGAAGTGGTCGCCCACGCACTATTAGGCGCCATCGGTGATAAAAGCTGTCAAGGCGCAAATCAAAAGAAATCCCATGCGTTAAGCAGCAAACTGCTTGCCCTTGAGATAGATAAGATGAATACAGTTACAAAATACAATTCTCATAAACCTCTTTTTCATAACAAGTTATAGTTCATAATAACAAACTTTTTGGGTATTCCAAAAGGATTCTGCACTAACTCACAGAGCGAAAAACACACAGAACTGGCTGGCGGCGCGTGATATCGACTTCATCCGACACGAAGACTGGCCCTCCTCCAATCGAAATTTGTAATATCCGTTTAATCCGTTCGATTATTAAATATTGCAACACTTGGAGGTAAAGGCCTTTTCAAAGCTATATTGATATGAACCTCGATCGTGCTACTATAGACGACTAACCGCGCGGGTTTAAGACTTGTATTAAAAATCGCGGGGATCATTTTGAATTAGCTTAACATAAGAAGTTTGTTTTAGTAAATTATCCTTTTAGTATATAAAGGGTTCCTGTAAAAACAAATTTGAACATGTGTTAATTATTACACAATAACCATGAGACAATAAGAAACATGCGACAATACTTAGGACCTGACTAGGTTGTTGCCACGATGTATTTTAAAACCTGGTTCAAGAACTTGCTTTTCAAAACATAAATAAAGCAAACGCTCTTAATAAAATTCGTTTAAGATTAAAAAGGATTACAATAACACGTTTCTTTCTTTGGCAGTTTTTATTAGCTATGCATTCCAGAGTACCTGTTGTTATTCTAATCTAACTTTAATTAACAAAACTATAAAATGACTTCATCTTCAACTGGTCCGTCCCTCGATTTTTTGTATTTGAAACGTCTGGAATTGATGTTATTATTAAACGCAAAAAATTAAAATCTTCTGTCATCTAATATTTCATTTAAACTCAAAAGATTGACTTGACATTGATGAGATGACTCCATGACGCAGTTGCCAAGGTATTGGCTTCGGCGTCGAGGGTCGTGGGTTCGATTCCCAAACGGGACAACTATTTGTGCGACCCACAGATAGTTGTTTCGCATCTGGGGGTTTGTCCTCGTGCAATTAATGTTTGTAAAACGTCCTTACAACACAGGATAACGTTATCTTAAGTGCGGGCAATGTTTAAGAAAAATTAAAAAATCAAGAATTGCGTTGATTAAAAATAATCAAGAACTCTACAATATATTATGTATTTTAATCTTTAATTGAAATGCAAAAATTAGTCGTTATTATCACAGTTATCCTTGGTTAACGAAATAATAGCTGTTTTACATAAATCGAAATCTAATAAACAGATAATCAAAAAATTAAGGTTAGGGCGCGGGCAACTTGACGATCATGGGACGAACCTATCTATTACGGTTACTCATAAGTGTTCGAAAAAAGCGAATTAAATTTGATAAAATTACAAAATTGTTTTGGTAATTGCGTTACTATATCGATTAAAAATAATAATTTTAAAGTTATAAGCCAACGTGCTCCTAATGTGAACGATCGCTTTTATTCAAATCTAGACAGCATACATACGTACCCTTTTAAGTGCGCTCTCCGGATAAAACTTCGACGGCCTTAAAAACTTCATCAGATAATTGTCGTCGTTGTGCGGTACAAAAAGTGACGTGTCTTCTGTAACATGAAATACGGTACTTTGTAAAGAAACACATCAAAACAGCTGTTGTTGTTTAACAAATTGCTAATCAAAACTAACAAACGGTAGTCGGGTTACCGCTTGCTAGTTTTGCTGCTTTTCTTCAAAACTGTACATTTATCACACCTCGTTATTACTCTACATGGCCTCGGATTTTGTGAGCATATTTAATATTATAAACAATCAGAAAGTAGAGTAACAGCTCAATGCAAGGTTCTTCCGTAAGTTTTGCTTAATACTTATTATTTTATTCTGCTTTTAAAACAAATAAGAAGTAGGTATATATTATATATATATAACATTTGTAACATAAATAATGAGGAAAATATCGCGAGCAATTACAATAACTTTTTTAACTTGCGTCGGTTTTAATCGAATCTGACAACGAATATGGAATGTGAAGGAGCTGATCTTTAAGAAAAATTAAAAAAAAAAGGACTACCAGTTCTGGTCTTGCATTTGCGGCTATTCATATCAGTAACATCACAGTGAGTTCATCAGGTAAACAATGGAAATGCAAACACATGGACAAATGCACATTAAATTGAATATTAAATAATGGGCAGTTGTAACCAACCTTAAACGAATATCTGGGAGGAGAGATGGTTGTATAACATTATCTCTCAGAAGTAAATTAATTTATTAATTTTGACACGTTGGTCGAGTACGAAAGAAAGTTGGAAGGGACTTCGCAACAAATACATCTTCCACAAGATTCTCTTCAATTAATATGATCTGGGTTTATATGCGTAAAAGGAAAGAATATAAACTCATTAAGCTCTTAACGATTAACCGATGTCGCTATGAGATGTTGAAACATTACAGTGATATAAACATAGATACCATTCAAACCTGACGATTTTTGAAAACTGCGCACCTAACAAAGTAAATAGGAGCAGTCCTTAGTTTCTTCGGATCAAACGTTATTCCAATATTTTATCAAGATGATTTGTTCATACAGTCGATACTCTTTTTCTTATAATAATTATTACCCAAGGCTTATCTTTAAAATATAGGCACGGGTGCAATGTATACATATAAACCTTCCTCTTGAATCACTCTATCTGTATATACATATAAAAATGAATCCCTATTTCCCTTGGTCATGCCATCACGCGTGAACGGCTGGACCGATTTCGTTAATTCTTTTTTTATAATATTCCTTGAAGTAGGAAGATGGTTCTTACGAATAGAAAAATTAAAAAAATGCCTGAAAACTATCTAAAAACAACACTTTTTTACTAGATAAAGTGATTCAAGAGGAAGGTTCATATGTTTAATACATTGCACCCGTGCGAAGCCGGGGAGAGTCGCTAGTTTAGTATGAAAAACCCCATCAACATAAGTTGCGTAGTTTTAAAGATCTAAGCGTACGTAGGGACAGACAGATAGCGGGACGACTTTGTTTTATACTATGTAGTGATGCACAGCAAAGAGACGTTTACATTTCAAGTGACATTTTACCACTGTCACTCACTTGTTTTGCCTTCCTTCCGGGAAGGCAAATCACTCCCCTCCACTAACACTTAAACTTTGTGGTATGGTATTAAAGTTCAAATTGACTTTTAAGTATTATTACGAATCTTTTGTACGGGAATATAGAAAAGCGTCGTTTTTAGACTTTTTCAGGCAATTTTTTAAGTTTTTCTCACTGTAAGAACCATCTTCCTACTTCAAGTAATATTATAAAAAAAGAATTCGTGAAATCGGTCCAGCCATTCACGCGTGATGGCGTGAACAAGGGAAATAGGGATACATTTTTATATATACAGATTAACAATATGTAATCCGCTACAGAGATTCTATAATAAAAATAAATAATTAAAAAACGTAATTTTCAATCAAAGCATCAAATAAAGCAATCTCTTAATTTACCTATCGCTGTAATATAAATAATGTAAAATCCACCGATATAGAAACACTTTTTTATATTCCTTCATCCAACCACTTACTTTTTAGGAGATCGCGTAACTCGGCAATCCCCTTTTCGACAACCTCCGGCGTCTCCCTCAGCTCCCGTTCAGCTTTCTCCACGTACTCCTCCTCGGTGGCGGGCGCTCTCTCCAACTGTATACGATGCTCGTCCCACATCACGAACGGGGTTCCCTCCGGATCGAATTGCAACTCCATTGTTCCTTGTCGAATTTCGCCACCTGCTCACCGGAGCGCCTCCGCGTCTCACAACAGAACGGGAAATGAGGTCGGCCTCTTTACAACAGCATCCGACGCAACGGTCGCGTCGCCGTCAAACCCTTCACTCTCGCGTTACAGGCCCAACCGACGAGGTTCTCTTTCGACAGCCACGGCGGCTTTACTTTTAATGTATCAAACGAAACAAGATAATGCGCACAACACACCGATTGTCGTTAATCTATATGATTTTATTGATAAATTAATTGACAGAGATTATTTTTATTTATAGATGACTTTGTAAATATACTGTCGCTTAGTGATTAGCACGGATTTCGACGAGCGAAAGCTGTATTCGGCAATAAGCTGGTTTCTAAGAGAACATAGTCAAGAGGCGCGCGGCCCGTCTGATGTTGGACTGAGCAAAGCGCGACGACATAACGGTCCGCCACCACTCCTGCGAGTATAGTGCTTAACACCACGCATTTATGGTACAACGGTTAATGACAAAGTAAGCTCGATATCCAACCTCAGTCCAATTTGATCGTTATTTTTTACCCAATTCGTATCATAACCCGAGCACGAGTAAGATTGGAATTGTTATGTACATAGTTATTATGTTATGATGAAGAAATCTCCTGTGTATGTTCGTTCGGCTATTAGTGATTATATCAGATTGTGTTAGGCAATATAGGAATATCACAGTCTTAAAATAATTACGCAACAGCAGTATGTAAGAAATAATTTGCATACTTTATGTAATAATGACATGGGAGGTGTTAAAATTTTTCATATCACGAATATAACGAATTATCAAGAATATATTCTAGCTAGGCATTGAGAGATTTTCAATTTTATTTTGAATTCTAAGAGTAAGAGTTGAATGAGTTCATGTTCATTAGGCAAAACTTTTCATTAAATACAGTAATTTCGATGTTAATGTTACTTCCGTGTTCGGCTTTTTACCGTGGTAAAACGCCACGCGGAAGCCACGACCTACTTTTTTCGAGCGCGTAAGGTAATCTTAAAGTGAGGTTATATACCTTTGGTGTTGCTATTGCCAATGGGTGACGTTAATGTTTTCGAAGTTAGTTTTTTGATGTATTGAATAGAGAACATGCATGCAAACTTCTTATATCTTATAAATCGCAGTTAAATTTCATGAGTTACAACTTCACTATTGACATTTTATGTAACAGTTGGCAGAGATGTATCTAAATTCTCCGTTCATTTCTTGTTTTGCTGTCTTACAGAGTTCTATGACATTATGTTCAAATAGGAAAAAGGGCCCATTCGGTTCAAATAACAGCAATCGATACCGTACATATTCCCGACCGCTCGCTTATAATGCACCTATTGTATACTCGAAAAACCAAAAAAATACTGACTTATCACATGCTCATTGGCAAAGGAAAACGTCGCAGTGAGGTGGCGTGGTGGGCTACACCCTTATACTTCTGTAAAGAGGGCGCGTTTGCCCAGAACTGGGACATATATAAGCTGTTACCCTACTTAATGTTAGCTATTTAATTAGTTCGTTCTGTAAATATTTTTATTAAGAAATATTTATTGGGTGAATTCATCCTGGCGTCTCTGATTGACCTTTTTGTACATGATGTTTTGGCCCTTTAAGAAAATTGTGCAAAATTATACCGTACAATTGGAGCCAGTATTTAGAAGACATATTTTGTGAGAATTTATTACTAATATTATTCAAGAGCATTAATATAAAGCTAAGAAATACACACGCATAAAAACTCTATTTATAGAGCCTATATAGGTTTATCTGTATAAATCTATTTTATTCTTGTCATAAATATTTTTCCTATGATACAAAGAGAATTATGATGCTATTGAAAAACGTTCCATGCTTAAAGATTTATTAAAGTATCAATAATGTAAAAAAATGAAAAGAACGCTTGTCACTCTTTAGTGAACAATCTAACGTGCAAAACACCACTGAACAAGTGTGGCAAGACTTAGTAAAGAAAACTAATCTGTGCCAAGTTTGACGTTTGCCACCGCATAAACTATACTTGGGTTTTCAAATAGTTAACAAATAAGGGTGCCGGCCACTTCTGGTGATCTAGCGCCTGCAGCTCAATGCACCTCAACGTTACAATCATGCAGGCCACTTGTTCGATTCTTGCACATCAAGTGAATCTAAAGTCAAGTGTATCGTTGTGGTTCTTCAAGAACGATATTTAATTCAATACATTTTATTGTAACAATAATACAGTGAAATTAGTAGCTTTGCAACCAACTTCATCATATCGGTGTCGGTGTGCGCCCGCATCGTAAACATTTTACTCTCATATTTTTTTTTCAAAAACAACGATTAATTTCGACAACCTGTCTATTCGACTCACATTTATCACAGCAAGACAAGCAGGGGGTGACTGTAGCAGTAAACTGTTTCGTAGCAGCCAATCAAAAAAGAGGTAAATTCTGGGCAGTGACGGACTAAGAGGCCCGGGGCGGTATAGCTGAACGAGGCCCTAGTTTAAGGAATTGATTTAATTAAACAAGCTTTTTATTCACTTCACATTTGTATGAATAAGTGTTTATTTAGTTAAAATCTTGTAAGTGAAATTTAAATTGGACTTAAATAAAAATAAACAGATTACAGAGATGGATGAGGAAAATAAAATACGAATCGATCTGCAAAAAAAACTGAATAGTAAAAATAAAGTATTAGGTAGTTTTATATTTTCAGTAAGTTTCTGGAACTAAAACTTTATAGACATTATAAAGATTAGTAGCAGTGGCGTAGATTACCTTAGATGGGCTCTCAAATCAGATTGTATCTGCCCAAATAAAGAGTAAAGATTTTTTTACCAAAGAAACAAAAATCTCGATTGGAATTAAAATACACAATCATATACACGGTGCCATATGAAATAGTGACTTATCTGATATCCGTTTCTGTCTATGGGACAGAAAAAGGAATCTTAAGATAATTTTTTATCAGTTTTAATTACGAAAAACAAATTTTCATCTGTTACAGTGGCTAAAAATATGGCAAAAAGCATGCTGCTATCCTCAGGAAAACAACAAGGAAAACAAAAATACAAGGCTAAAGAATTTTATCCAAAATAATTTCATGGGTTCCATAATGGAATGACATTTTCAGGGTTTAAACATGTTTTATAAGCAACTGTTCATAAAGATCACAAAGAATGCCGTGACTGTTTTATAAGACAGTAGTGTTTTTCTACACATTTTTTATTATTTGGTGAAAAGAATACTTAGTAAAATATTAACTTTCTATAAGTCAATATTTTCATGCTGTAGAACTGTAGTGTGGATGATTTATAACAGTGAAGAAAAAAAGACGACAAGCATTAGAAAAAAATTCTCTGCGTGTTAATTATATTTTTACAATCATTACGTTCGTCTTTTTTGTGAAAATTAATTTAGTTGATTCAAAATTTTTATTATTAATGAATAATTTTTCCATAATGCGTTGTTTCTCGAAAATCTAGCTTATGGTTTAAAAACTGTTTTAAGGTAAAAAGCTTATTAAGGACCAGTGTTTTTTTTTGTTTCTAAAAAACATTGCCCTCACTTTAGGATAAAATTATCCTGTGTTGTAAGGACGTTTTACAAACATAAATTGCACGAGAACAAACACCCAGATGCGAAACAACTATCTGTGGGTCGCACAAATAGTTGTCCCGTGTGGGAATCGAACCCACGACCCCCGACGCCGAAGCCAATACCTTAGCAACGCTGCCACGAAGTCATCAAAATTATCCTTCCTTTATTTCTTATTATCTAATCCTTTAGCTCCTTCATATCTCCGTCAGCGCTTTGAACATCTGGTTCGTAGAGGTACTAAATGCCGGACTAAGAAATTCCTACTTCTTAAAACACCTATTCACTTTACCAAAAGGTACGATGCGTAATTTACTGTAAAGGCGGTAAAGTTAGTACATGTTTTTGTCATTGGTTCCAATTATCTGTATTATAATTGAGTGTATAATAAAGTAAAAAATTTAATTCGTGCTATTGATTTCGTGCAATTACTGCGCAAACATGGTCAAAACTCTTGTATGACTTAATTGTGTGACATGTAGGAGAATGAGTCCTTGTATGTTATAAGTTATCTTTTAAGTTAATATGTTATAAGTTATCTTTTTTTCCGGGACGTACGACTTAAAAGTGAGAATTTAAGTGATTGTGGAATTTTTGCTTAAATCCGTTCGGGGCTCCCGAGTCCGAGGCCCACAGAGCCTTGGGCTCGGGGGCTCCGTATTATTGATACGGCTGACAAAACGTTATATTAGCAGTAGTATTAATTTTATTTATAAAATGAATTACCAGTTCCTACTGTATTGTATCAGAAATAATTATGACTTAGTTTATACGTATTTTATATGAAAGAAATCATATTTGTATGAGACCTCCAAACTCCAACCTCTTGATAGGTACAAGGCATATTTTTAAAGCCTTGTTTAAGGTCTGTTCAAGGGAACATGAAGTCGTTTGGGGCCGGAAACTCGGGGCGGAGCGCCTCTTCCGCCCCCCGATTAGTCTAGTCTAGTAATAAATAACAAAAAGAAATAAAACATTGTGAATTGTAAAAGTAAACATATCGTAGAACTGTTTTTAAACAATAAACTGGTTTTTAACAAACCTGTGTGTAATAAGGAAGTATTTATTGTATCCTTGTAAATCCAAAGGACATCGTTGCAGAAGCTACTCGTATATAAAAGGTCACATTTGCATTATTACTTTGTGTTTGAAAGCGAGATATAAACATGGATATAGAAAAGCCTAAATTAACGGTGATAGTAAATTTTAAATTGTAATAATTAAGAAGCGTTGCTTTTGTTTTCTCATTCGTTGACTTAGTTTCAATATTGTTTGTCACATAAAGAAAACTATTATTTCCTTATTTGATTGCATCTTAGAGCCGCAATTTAATTTCACCCGAGGTTCTTTGACCGCAGTGCAAAATAAGGTGTGAATTGATAGTTATTCCATTCAGCAATTAAAATCGTAAATCCTAGACTAGAAGACGCCGTTACATGCCTATAAGTATTGACACATCGTCAAGATAAATAAAGTTTAACAACAAGAGCTGTCAAAATAAATTCAGTGTCACGTGTTCAGCGTTGAAGGAAAACATCGTGAGGACACCTGCATATTTTTGAAATAATAACAAAAAATATTTGGAAGATATATAAGTCCGCCAATCCAGTGGAGTCACTTAGTAGAATGTATGCACTAATACCCTGTACAGAGGAAGCCATTGCCCGGCAGTGGGATCTGTATAGGCTTATACTTTACTTTTTACTTAGGTTAAACTACATTTCTCATATTTAAATTATTAAAAATACCTGTTGCTCTCTGATAAAAGCTGCTATAGGTAAAACCATAATCTAACGACGGGATCTGACATTCTGCAAACTCAAAACAAACAATTTTCAGATTGTGTCACTTGTAACAACGGCCTTAAAATTTTATTATTTCTTGCATTCATTGGCTGTTTTAGTTTGTTGATAATCAGCTATTACTCCATAGAGACTCTGCTTTAAAGATTATTTACGAAATAAGAAGTACTTAACAGTTTATTTTAAGTGAATGAATTAAGTCCGTTTGTGTTCATTGTATGCAGAACTCCTATAAGGTAGTTGGAGCAAGAAAGTTTTGTCTAGAATATCTCTCAAGCTCGTCCCATGCCTGTTCTATAGAATTTAAATCAGAATGGTGAGCTGCTCACTCCATGCATGCATTGTCTAAAAATAAAATTTACGCCCATGTTCACTAAGGAAGTACTATTTCATTTAAAATCTCCTCTACGTATGCGAGAACCGGATTTCTACCACTACTAGCTAGTAGCTCCGTACGACTCTTTGAAGATATTCCAGCTCACAGCTTTATTGATTCTCCACTGAATATCACCTTTTATGCAAACACGCTTGCAACAGTAAAAGCTACTGCCTAACTCATATATAGTGATGAAGTTACAAAACAAAGATTACTATCTGTTTTCGGTTCAACGCACGCTCATTACAATCATTGTTTAAAAAAGATAACAATAACGAGTCTAGCAACTTGTTAATAGGTAGTTAATAATAGGTGAGTGTAGTAAATTATTAGTAGTTAGTTTAAAATAGGTTCTATAGAAGGTCATATCAAATGAGTGTTTACTACTACGAGTATCATTTATTTTTAGATATTGAATGGATCCTTAAAGAAGTCTAAGTTGCAGTTACCGAGTTGCATTGGTGCGTTTAGCCGCCAAATCAAATTTTCTAACAACTGATTTTTTTTAATAAAACCAAAAGAAAAAGAAGTGGCCGCCCTCGCACTGTTAGGATTCCAGTAGTGATAAAAGCTGTGAACGCGATCCAGAGAAATCCCATGCGTTAGCAGAAACTGTTGGCCTTTCAGATGGTATTAAGCACAACCAACATAAGCATCCCCTACAATTGTATTTTATGGCAGATTCAGATAATTTCATCATTACCTTTATTTAAATTTGCCTTCGACACACCACGCAGAAGGCTTCTAGTTACTATACCTTCCGGCACAATGGCTTGGTAATTGATGGATTCCTAAATTTTGGAACATACAAAAGGTACATAAAACATAAAGCAGATGCAATATACAAATAAGTGAAATAGGAGCTTCTAATTTTTATTGATACTTGTTCACTTGACCTGAAAAATACATTTGCATAAACAATTCTTAAAATTAACCGTTCCGCCCAATAGAGCCTTATTCCTTACAGGCGGAACCAAGAGAATTGGTCCTTACCGTCTACGGCTGTAACATGGATAGTGATGGAGCCAATTCATGTTCCTATTGGCTTTGGCATTAGGGGTTCAGTGTTCAATTCCCATACTGGACAAGTATTTGTGTTTTTTTTTATGTCAAAAGTTTCCAAGCGAGCAGACGTTTCACCTGATGTTAAGTGAATACCGCAGCGCATGGACATCCGCTGCACCCGAGGTTTACAGATGGGTTGACAACCTTTCGAAAATTGGGCTCCGGCTACCTCACTCACCAGACGAAACGCGAAAGTATCATACCCCCACTTAACGCCGGTCTTCTGTGAGATCGTGGTACTGACCCGGACGAGCCAGCCCATTCGTGCAACAGGCGAGGCTGCTGCGTGGCCCTACCACCGTTATGTATTACCCACAGATCAATATTCCGGATTTGAGTGCTTCGCTACTCAATGATACCTGAGGCCATGGGAGATAGGCGAGCCAGTGCTAATAAGCAGCAAGCCTCCCAGCCCCCAGCGGCGGACTGGTCTGTGGCTACGCCGCTCACCACATTTCGCCAGATGAGCCTGCCCATTCGTACAACCGAAGTTAATGGGTGGCTCCATCACGCAAATTGTTGTCCAATATAGAAATCGAACCAAAGACCCTCGGCGCCGAAGCCAATAGCAAGAAACTACTCCAGCAGAGAATCTACTAGAAAATAACTTCAGGATACATGATAAATGATCACTTAGTTGTAACTTCAAGATTTTCTTTTTGTTTAATTCCGCAGCTAGAGATTTTGCTGACGTAAATAGTTCAGCGGACAAATAAAAATTTGTTTGAAATAAAATTAAACATAATATTCGTCAAAATTTATTTACTCTTTAAAGTTGAGCGATTTTGTCAACCAATTTTCGTTACAAAGAATATTTTTAGATATAAGTTCTAACCCAATAAACATCACGCATAGGCACATTGGTCCCGTAGTTTAAGCAGTAAACAAACAAATTTCTCATGAAAACGTATGAAAAATTATAAACTGGAATGAAAGTTTCAACTTGATTTTACAACTTGACAACATTAATTTCAAAATCGCTTACTTAATAAATTACATAATGTCTTACAATATATTACAAAACTCTTGATCCACTATGAAGTTTTTAATTACGAAATGAAAATGAACATATAAATTCTCACAAGTTTTCTCTATATCCCTTACACGATAACTTAATCTACATTTTGGTGAATATGTCATATGAGTGGCACAGCACTATCACATTCACAGCCTCAAATATGTTTGTGCTCGTCACTACACGGGCACGTATGATAAAGTAATATTATTCTAAAGCTTAATAAATATACCCAAACAACGACAACGTGACCTTGATAAATACAAAATTATGTCATAACTTTCGCTTCATATTCGAAATTATAAATACGAGACAAACAACGAAACATTAAGAGACTCGTATTACGGAGAGAAATGTTGACAATCTTTAATATTTTGCCTATTTTTGATTTTAGCTTTATTACAGATTAAAAATAGAGATAATTTTTCTGTATTAAACAAAGTACAAAACGGTTTTATTACAACTATCTCGTCACTGTCGTATCGCACGAAAACATTAAAATAATTTATAGCGTAATTTAAGAGAAATGGGAACATTATAAAGTAACAAATAGGTGAAAATTAAAAGTATCCAAATTAAAAACAAAGCATAATTTACCTACTAGAAGATTTAAAACAAAACACTACGAATATCAGTACAATTGGCGTGTTGTTCTTTCCAATTAAAATTCCGATATAATTAACTCAAATTTTGATTTTGATCGATTGATACTAATAAATGAAAGCGAGAATTAAATGCATGCGTTTAGGACATCATATACTGATTAAAATTTTTTAAATCTGATCAAGACGTACACTGTTATATCAGCTTATTTGGACACAAAACATATACAATAGGCGTCTAGCTACTAGACGGCCTTGTTTAATATTGTACGTTATACATTATAGCCAATTCATTCGGCTTGTTGTCTTCAAATTGAAAAATAAAGACCATCGATAACTATTTCGAAACATTGCACATAAAGTGAGGTCATACATAAGAAGGACACGCAATTGAGAACATTATGGCGGTCCAAACAATCTTAATTGAGCTCGCATTCATCGCATACACGACATTCCATTTAAACCGGTCTAACAATCTAAATAGAACCTAAATTCCCGTAGACACGATAGCTGAGGAACAATGGTGGCACTAGGCCTTCTTGACGAACCCGTAGGTATTCCAGTTGTCTATGTGCGGTATGACGTGCTGAATGACGGGGTACCAGTCTGCGCCCGAATAGTCTATGGCGGGCAGCTCGCCGCCGTAGTCGGCTGGCATGTGGGTAGGGGCTAAGTGCTTGTGTAGGGACGACATGTCCGCGCCGTGGAAGAATATCTAAAAGAAATGGTCGCCGTTGTTGGACTGTATTTCTTCGCAAGTTTCATAAGCTGACGGTTCATCTAGTGTTAAGTGAAAACTGTCGCCCGTGGACATTTGCAGCCCCCCCAAGGTTGCAGATGTGTTGCCGCCTTTTAATAAAGTGGGCTTCGGGTATCTCACTCACCAGACGAAACGCAGATAACGCTTCCAGTTCATGGCCGTCGTGGTTATGTCTTGGTACTTCCCCGGACGGACTTGCCCATTCGTGCAACAGCGAAAATTATTGCGTGGCCCTTCGACAGTGCTCTTACTTTTGCTTTAACTGACGTTTTTACTTTCAGTCCGTAGACTAGGAAAGCTTCATCAGACTAGTGTGCTAGCAAGAACCCACGAGCTTGGTGGTCCAGCAGTGGACAAGCACGGCTACAAGTATAATTGCTTAGTTACATAGTCGTTTTCGTAATCGTCTTAGTCAACTTAGCAACTGTTAGGGTATTAACGAAAACAGAATTATATTAATTCTGTTCGATGGATTAATAACGATTAAATTGATAAAAGGGCTTTGTAATCGGAGCACAAGTGCGATTGTAAATAACATATTAAAGGCACCTAAGAGAACAATTAATCAAACATCACAACAAAACTTTAATTATCCAACTGATTTAAAGTATTATTTTGCTATTGTAGGAATAATGTATAATGTGTGTTTGAAGGTATAATGTCAGAAAAGCTATTAGTATAGTAATTGTGTAATAAGCTTTGCGCCTTTGATATTTTATTAGCAATTAAAATTTCTCCATGAACGAAGTGTTTATACTTAATCCAAGGACTAGAAGAGGAATGCAAAACTTACTCTATTCTTCAGCTTTTCCCTGATTAGGGGCTTGAACATTTTCCATACGATGTCGAAGACCTTAGGCTGTTTGACGAAGTGCACCTCCTTGAGACGAAGAGGCATCGCGTCTTGGATAAAAGTCAGAAGGCGCTTAGAGAACGACGGCGTCAATCCCATTGTCTGTAGAAAAGAGTAAAAAAAACTTATTGGAAATAAATTTACCCACAAATTTATCATAGTCGGGTCGAATGGTAGTGAACCAGGACATTCACATAGTGTCTGTTGTTGGTTGAATAGACTCGTCAAGCAAAGTAATATGATGACAATAGCAATTAGCCTACCGGTGTGGCTAGACTGTTTTTTATAATCTATTTATTTAAAAAAGTTGGCAAGGACATATTGGATACATTTTTGGTTTATTCAAACAACAGTTAATATCAACCCTGGATCGAAAACTAATTAACTGCAACAGAGCCTGATTTGCAAAGAGCCCGCCAAAACAAGGCATTTTTTTCTTCATTCACTTTATTAATAACTTTACTAGAACTTTATTAGGAGTTATGTTAGTAATAAATAAAATATTTCCAATTCGATTTATCGATATAAAGGTAGTACTGAGTACTTTTTGTTCAATTTCGGTAAATTAACACAAACCCTGTCAGGGTTACCTAATTGTTTAGACGTAGACGTTTAGAAGTAAACGTGACCTAATTGTTTAGAGGTACTAAGGTCAACGTTAAAGACGAAACCAAGAAACGAGTGGGCCCGCATGAGAAAAAATACTTATGTATTTATTCCACGCCCCTGTTTACCAACGTCCTCAGTTGACGCGGTGCTATACCTACTTCCCATATAAAAGGCTTGTGTTGTCAAAACGGATGTTGAGCTAAAATATTGACATAACAAAAACTTGTTCCTTATTTAAAACATAATATTTGCTTGGTTTTTGTACGTAATTAAAATAATGCTAATAAATAATTAGTAGTAAAAACTAAAACAACGTCGCAAAACCCGGGCTTTGTTTAGCTTATACCACATTCCAAAAAATTTAAGTTTCCTTTGATAAAATGTATAAGACTACTTTGCAAAAATGGATCACCCATAAAACAAACTGTTCTAAAAGTTCATATGAAAAATTATAAAGGCTGGTTAATACTGGTGATACATTGACATGATTTCAATATTAAAATTTGTAGAAAAAAAGAAATACATATTTTTCCCCGCTGCGGGAATCGAATCCACATCTTCTGACTCAACTGATCCGAATCAACTGGCGCCCAGATTGAAGACGTGACAGTTTTTTCTACGAATTTTAATGCTTCATCAAGTGCAGAGAAATCATTATAAATTTTTAAATTATTTCAAAATGTTTAATTAGAAGAACATTTGAAAATTACGCGCACACTAGAAATAAATGTAATACGTAACTGTGAGGTTAAGTTGCTACTAAAATTCTGATAACTTGAATATGTACATAGTAAGCTAAAATATTATAACTAATTGGTAATTTTATCGGCTCGGAAAGTATTTAAGGTAGACGCAACGTTTTGAATAAGAATCGCTCTAATAGCCTCGGACGTGATGCTCCTTGGGTGCAAAACCCTGAAGCCGACGACATTTTTCCTGCATATCACATGAGACACTTCACGACTGATACGTTGAGAAGTCAGTAAATAAATATAAATACTTTTTCATACACAAAGAAAAACCATGTCCTATTTGGATGGCGCCAAATATGATTTATATCTCACACTTGTAACATGTTTTGTAAAACAACACTCGGATAAACAATAGGCAAATTAAATTTTTTTCGGGCTATATTTTTACACGATAACGTTTATCCAAACTACCGTTTCCTAGTATTATCGCTAAAATATACTAAAACTAGGAAAAACTATGTTCATCGCACGATATTTTCCTAATTATGGTGGGAAGCAAAGCAACCCATACCATTTAGTGTAAAAGATAGGTTTATATGTCAATCGGAATGTCGTCAAAATCTGTACATGTACATTTCCTAGATTCCGCCAAATGATGCCTAACTACAAAGGACAAGAATAGATAGAATTGCTCAAATATTTTTGCTTGTGGATATATAAACATTCGTTGGCAATAGATATTTGCAGGAAACATTTGTAAAAGTGTGTTTAAAATAAACTCTTTAAGTGAATTGCTACTTGCGGTTAAAATTACATATTCACGTCTGTTATATTCATTTTTTGGTAAATTATATATATGTAGAGTCAAGTCAAGTATATGTACGTAGAAATATTCACTTTGTGATTGACTTGATTGAAATCACTTTGTGATTTTTTATTACTTTTTATGTGGCACGGTTAGCATACGAGCTGGCAGTTCTCCTGGTGATAAGTGATAGCCGCTGCCCATGGACATTTACAACCCCGTAGTGTTGCAGATGCGTTGCCACCTTTAAATAAAGTCGGCTTCGGTTACCTCACTCAATAGACGAAACGCAGAAGTATAATACTTCTACTTCACGCAGGTTTTCTGCGATGTGGTGGTAATTCCCAGGACGGACCTGTCCATTCCCGCAATAGCGAAAACTGTTGCGTAGCCTTACCACAGTTAAAACCTTTCAACTTTGTTACTTATCCAATATTATTCTACACTAGCTGAACCCTGCAACGCTTCGCCGTGGTTTTTTTTCGTTACCGTTGGAAATTCAGAATAAAAAGTATACAAAGACTCCGCTGTTCAATAGCTATGTTGTGAACAAATAGCAAGCAACCATCGCGCATCGGCTGGTTTATGAGTATTGTGGAAACAAACATACGGAAGCTAAACTTTTTATATAAAGTCATGTCAGTTATTCTTAACATCAATCTACAAACACAATCACCACTTATCTCCTTCTTTCTATGATTAATCCAGCCGCTAAATTGTATGTTATTAATAAAGGCAGCGTGTTTATAATATGAGCTATATACATATATGTTTGGTTAAAATATGAGTGAATGAATATGAATTTTATTCTATTCTATTTTAACAGAAATATTTTATGCTTTATCAATAGTAACTAAAAATATAATTGCAGCCGGACATACAGTTACGAAATAACAATGCAATTTACATTTAATCTTTTACTTTAGCGATTCATGCAAATCATTATGTTTTTTATATAATTTATCACAAATCTATCGCTTCTCGTAAAATTTACAAGTTCCGGTGTACGCATAAACCGAGGCAATAACATGCAATGTTCTGATGCGTAATATAAATATAAGTAAACTACTTTCAGCTGTATTGATAATGATCCGTCAACATGACGATCGACACCCGACCCACTCGCGGAATTGAATAATTCAACCGTTTCTATTGCACTCAGCAATCTATTATTTGTCATTTACCACGAACGTGTCCAAACTACGAGTATAAGGTCAGCCTTATCCTTTGGCATTGACTTTGACTTCTTTATTACCCACATGTCAGTGCAATCGACGAATAAAAGAAATATCGACTATCAACGCAGATAACGAGAGATAGTAGTTTATCGGAAACAATTTTAATCCGATCCGACATTTTGCTATTTTCTTCACTATTTGAACCTTGGAGGGTCTGCCGTGTCGAAAACCCTTTTCGTTTATTTCCTGATTTCCCGAATAAAGTACGAGTGAGCGATTAGAAGTTCGCAGCTGCGCCGAACAAAGATTAATGACACAATGGAAAGCGGCATTGTTAGGCAGACTTTGCGCATCTTTGTTATAAAAACATGCCTACTGAGCCGCTTCGTAACTAATTCTTTGTTAAGGACACAGCAATGAGTCATTAATTTCAAAGTACACTTGGCCACTGTGTGCTATAACAAAGGATGTTTTTGATACTGGGAGCTGAAAGAAATTTTGTATTTGTACGCGCAATTGTGTCGAATTATCGCTTTTTTATGACCATTTCTAATAAATAAATTTTGTGCATACTTAATATTTTTTCTGCCGAAGCTATTGCGTGGCCCTACCACAAGTGCATTAAAAAAGGATTTAAAGATATTTTTTCATCGCACACATCAGTACTGTTCCTTGCAAATTGGCTTTGAAAACATAATTTTTGCAGCACAACAAACTTTGTAGACATTTACATTAAAACATATTGTTTGCCCCAGACTCTGTGCATATAATGTTTATTGCTCTCGTTAAACATATCTGCAATCAGGATGATGCAACTCTCTGTTGCAAATCGGCATTGAATAGTGCGCGTTTAAATTTGCATCATGTAACTCGACCGATATTTATCCAGTGAAAGTGGACATTTTTTACCATCGCTTATGTTTTGTTCAAAAACGATCCCGGTCTGCGCGCGACGCGTTTTAGATGTCAAGGCGGGTTTGTTACGAAAAATAACGTTTGAGCACTTGCCAATTCACTACACGTATGTAGTAGGTATCTGCTTAATGCGTTTTACAACTGAGCTAAATTCATATTGGACAACAACAAAAGGAAATTTTACAAAACAAAACGGCAGAATCGTATGTTATAAAGAAATAAAATGAAAGCAATAAACGAATGAAAGCGCGACACGAAGACCCATATGGAATGTGCTGTTTACATAATTATTATTCACGTCTACATGATAGTTTAAATTGTTTTTTATTATATGTTGTCCATTCTTGCTTTTTTTTTCTTACTATTACAGTTGGCATACAACGCGAATGCAATGAAACCAATTTCCCGTATGTACATATACGTAGAGTATGTTATTTTATTTAATATCTTTAAAATCCAATTACAAAAAGTTAATAAAGGTATCAACGCTCTGGCACAGTATCAATATATTAATAACAATACCAGTGTTCAGAATAAATTTATAAACTGTTAAAATATTCACTAAATCACCTTTATAATGATAAGTTTCTCGCGAACAATTTACTTGAACTGAATACAAATTACATTGATAAGTTCTTAATGAATAAAGCATCATTAATTAAATATAAATTTCTCTAACTTTATTATTATAAACGACCGTGCTATCACGACTCAACGAGCCATGATAGCTCAGTGTCCGGGCGCTCGCCTTTAATTCAATATACTCGAGCAACCTGAGTTCGATCCCCGGTGCCGGCACCAATGAAATTTTTAACTTTAAGTGCTGAATTATCACGTGCTCCGCGGTGAAGGAAAACATCGCGAGTAAACCTGCGTATTTTCGAAATAATAACAAAAAATATATATATTTTTCGAAGATATGTGAAGTCCGCCAATCCGCAGTGGGGTCGCGTGGTAGACTATGTCCTGATACCCTCTGTATAGAGAAGTCCCTTGCCCAGCAGTGGGACATGTATAGGCAGTTACTTTATTTGTATAGTCTTAACACAGTAAACGTTTTTTTTTAACTACTATGCCTACTATAAGTTTGCTGTAGAGACGTGACTCCAATAAGACAAGGTCAACACAAATTGTTTAAATTAAACCAACAATTAAATGTCTTTTGTTAAGAATACTCTTCACACAGGCACAGTTCAATCATTACTAATGCTTACTTAAATTTTAAAGGCGAAATTTTGTATGTATGGATGGATGTTTATTACTCTTTCACGCAAATACTACTGAATGGATTTGAATGAAACTTCACAATAATATAGCTTATACATCAAAATACGACATAGGGTATAATTTATATACGTATGTTATATATATATATCTGTCTTTCTGTCTGAATGTTACGCTTTCAGCCTATTCTACGCAGGCGTAGTCGCGGGCAGCAGTTATTCATAACTATACCTATATAAACCTTCTTTTGCAACTGCCGCAACCTTCAAAAGTTAAAATTGCTTAAGCTTTTGAAGTTATAAGCTATTATATGAAGACACGTGTGGACACAATAAATAAAACTTTAAAATTAAGGGACACCTCATCTACGAGCATTATAAAATCTAAACGTGATACAAAGTATAAAGACAATGAGACAAAGGTCAGTGACGTAAGGCTAGTAAATAATTTAATATAATTAAATCCACTAAAAATCTCACCTCGGTTGAAATTTTATTGATATTGTTTTATGTACACACATATTTTATTTAAAAGACGGTATTATTTTTATTTTGAATTAAGTAATAAAAAGCTAATTCTGGTTTTGCGTACAAGATATTTTTGTAAACCCATTTTTTATGATATTTCAAAGAGATGCAATATAATGTTTTTTGGCCTCTAAAAAACTCATATTGATATTTCGCATTATAATAGATTTTTACGTTATGTGTAAAATAATTTTACAATGAAACTTTATAAAAAGATTATCATTTAAAGTGTCATCTTGAGTACAGAGATTAGTACTAAAAACAAAAATTATTGTTAAATACTTAACAACAATTTTAATTATAGATCCGCTTTCTTATCAGTTTGTCAATGATACACTATGGAAACTATTTTTCACATACATCCTCCTTCTCCTGGCAAGTCACAACGTATGAATCATGCTGATAATGAAATCAGCCGCTTGCCTGAACCTCTTGGGCATTAAACAATATTTTTCACACACATCCTTAATACTGCAAACAGCTCTTTTGAGTAATGATTAAGTAGTTAATTGTTTGAAAACTTGCCTGCGACCAGCCCATGTTGTAGAAATCCATCAAAACAACCGTGCCTCTGACTTGAGACTCCGGTTCCAGCATGGCGGCCAAGTGGATTAGGTAGAACAATCTGAACAACTGATCAGCATTGACTTTCTTCGGGTTCCATGATCCTGTAAATAATAAATAACATCGTTTTGGACCAGAATTGCAGCTGAGAATCTGGTCAGATTAAACAAAGTAGAAAAAAAAATACAGTCGAATTGAGAAGCTCCTCCTTTATTGAAGTCGGTTAAAATACCTATTTTAACCGTTTTTATCCAGTAACAACTACCTATTTGTTACTGGATTTTTTAAAGTTCAACACAGTAGTAGCATTCATGACGTAGTTGGAGGAGTAAGGGCTCTTTGTTTGTGAATGTAGTGCTAAGGCAACCCGAGACGCGGTTATAATACTTACAAATAGATTAAAGCTACACCTTAAACATTACTGTTCGTTTCGACGTACTTAAACATTACACAATGGTTATTCAAAGCGCGGGGTCATTACGGCGAATCGTCAACTATGTGCTTAAACTTAACTATTATAGGTACATTAAAATAATTGAGAAACTCGCTTCTTTGTGTCCATTGAGCAACCCAGTACAATGATAAATTAACACAGCAGACAAACAAAAAACATGGCCCTCTATCTAAATACTTACGACATCTACTACGCATTTTATATATTTTTTTTTATTTGAGAAGAGCTGGCGTTTCACCTGAGATTAAAGGACAACCGCCGCTCATAGGCATTTGCAGATGCGTTGCCACATTTGCTACATTAAGGTGGGCTCCTGGTTACCACACTCCCCAGATGGAACGCAGAAGTGTAACACTTCTATCTCACGCCGATCTTCCGTGAGGTCGCGGTACTTACCCAGACGACCCTGCCCATTCGTGCAACAGCGAACATAATATTATTATAACAAATAAATTAAAAGAGACATTTCTCGTTTACAATTTGAACCATTAGCAATTTAGTATTTTTTTTAAATTTACAACAACTCAACCCCTGGTCATCATCAAGATAGGGGGATGATGATGATGACTTTGACTTTATACCATTTGGGTCGGTGTCACACAAAGTGTAAAAACTTAAAATAAAATACTGTTAGTAGTATTTTATTATATTTTTTTATTTGTAATGATAACAGTAGGTAATGACGATAATAGCCCAAATCATGAGATTTCAAAGCGATTCTAGTAATCGTGCTGAATTCCCGTTTAAGGTTTTATTTATTTCGGCGTAGTATAAACGGTGGAATTGTTAAATCACCTCATTCCATGAGCTTGCGTACACATTACACAAGGCAAATTAAATCGGACTTTAGTGTTTTTGTTTTTTCAATAATATTATTAACTTGAACCTCTTTTCGGTGAAATTGCAAAGTAAATACATTCGATAGGAAGATATATTATATAAGAGCATTGTTTCAATATTAACTTGAAAATGGACTACTGACGACAGTCTAAATTAGCGCAGAGAATGTGACCGCATATCTATATAACATAAAACACATAACGCACAGTAAATATATAACCGCAGATGTGGTCATATACCGGACGCCAGTGCTCAGATGTATTAGAGCTTACCTCCGACGTTTACAATCAGCAATCGCCTCCCCAATTGGTCGCGGCCCTTCATGACGTTCACAACTTTGTGCTCGAGGAACGCTTCCTTCTCGTGTTCGGGCACTAAGCCGTTGAGGAGACTAGCATTGTCACGCTTGAACTCGGCGACGCGCCGCATCTAAAACGGAGAAGAGCGCGGGAGTCATTTCTCGGTCGATGCATGCTCGCAACAATAGCTAAAATGCCTCATATAATTAAGTATTCTGCAAGTTTTTTCGCGTGACCGCACCACTTACGCCTCATTGCCATATGATTGCTATCAAAATAGCTTCCCGTTGTCTTAAATTACGAAACCATATCTCGCAGAACGCACGGACAGCTGCACTCCGCGCTCGAGAGTCTGTAATTCACGTGACGCTTAACTCGTGTTTTTATGGAAAGCAATTTTGTGTGATTTAGGTCTCATTTGCTGTAGGAAAATGGGTAGGTAACGATGTTCATGCTGCATACGTAAAAACTTGTCATTGTGTCCTGTGTACTTCTGAATCACTGGCCAACATCAAATCGAGGTGCCTAAGCTGAGGTTTATAAGAAAATAGCGAGCAAACATTCTTTTGGGTCGTTGCATTGTAAAAATCTTCATATTCACATGGGGAGTTCGCAAAATCGATGCATTCATCTCCGGCAAACCTCGGCGTCCTCGGCCAATATTATAACTTTATGTTGAACTAATAGTGCAAGCGAGACGGAACTAAAATACACATCAATATTTTCAATCTGACTGTCGCAATTCGCTTGTTATATCATAACAGGCGAGTTTGCGTTTTGTTTACAAAACATCGTCGTCTCATTTCCTCATTACTTTCGATAATGTAGAAACACTGACAATACCGCGCAGTGTTATTGCGGTGTTACAAAGAATAACATTAATATTTTATGCATCTTGCTGTGAAGCACGTAAATAGTGCTATTTTTTATGATTTATTACCGGCATACTTTTCATGAACTCGAACATCAAGCTCGACGGAATAACAATAACTGCGCTGTCATTGTTACAACACGATCCAACATACGTAATATGGATGAAAGACCGAAATACTCCAATTAATTTCATACGAACATTGCACTACGAAAGAGGTTATCGCCCTAAACTAGGGAAACAGGTAAATCGAGTAGTACGGGCGCTAATTTGTTTCAGATGTTTGTGCTATGCAATCGAATATTTGCGTGTTACTTGTAAAAAATTAACAGGATTCAATTACCATTCGCAATAGTAGGCAATGAATAAACTCATTATACATTCATTGGTTATTTTTATGTCGAGAACATAATTACAAAGGGTGACATGACGTTCACTCGGGATTAGCATCGGACCATTCAAGACTCTGTAACCGTAGTCCGGAATTTGATCCAACGATTTGAAGTTCAATCCAACATTCGTCCTAGACTTTCTATCATTCTTGTGAACGATTTGTTAGAGTAAAATGTAAACGTGTAGATTTATTACCTGTCATGATGGGTTATAGTTTATTCTCGTACCATTCACGTACGACATTTATAGCTTTACCATTTTGTTCATACCACTACACCTGCGTTGTTCCTTTTGCAATATATCGAATGGTTAGAATTTATGATTAACACAGGACATTTTAAAAATTGTCCACTGTTAATCAGAAGTGCTAGCTTTCTCCTACTTATGTAAGTCAAGACCGTTGATATAATACGGCGTGAAGAGGGACTCTACTCACTAAAGCATAAACTTTCGCAAGTAAGCAATGTTATTCGCTACTTCTATGAAAATTGAAGACAAACATTGTGTATAAAAGAATTACAAATATATTGTTTATTATATAATATTTAATATTTAATACTATATTTTTATAGTTCTAGAATATAGATATAATAACATAAAGATATAACCCTTTTGAAAGATACGACTGATAATAATTATTCGGAAAAATTATATAATGCAGATGAAACCATGCGCCGCCTTCGTTTAAATCAGTAATGTTAAATATATCAACTCATATAAAAATTTACACCATTTCTCTGATTTTGCACCAACTAGCTATAGCTACCTACATTTTTAATTATGGACCATAATTAACACAAAAGAGTTAATCGAGATCAATTCCCACAGTAACAACAACACCCCCGTAACCGGCTTATAATTCCAATCCGTTGTGTGTCATTGGGTTAATCGAATCAGATTTTTACGTAATTTTAATGTAGACCTCTACATACAAGTTCCTCAGTCGAGTCGAACCAAGGAACATGGGTTTGTTAACGCTAGCTCGGTAAAGAATGGGCTTCGAATGCAAAATCTTGACCTTCGCTGTGCAATAATGTTTTATAATGATGTTACGTTTAGGAGCGGGCCGGTCTCTGTCGGCATGAATTAGCGTCGTTACACAATCCCACAGGTGGCAGGTTAACGACTGATTGCGAATAAGCCGCCGAGCACGTTCTGGCGAGTGCGCCTCCCCGCGGATCGACTTGCCTAATACTAAATTCTGTTATTAAAATTAATTGCACGGGCAATAGTTGCGCTGGCCGCCGTTATAATTGCCAAAGCGTGGATGCCGCATCATATTCAAACGTATCATAAGCTTTTTTTTAATATTGTGTATATATATATATATATATATATACAAAATTAAAAAAATTATATATGTATACGTACAATACTATACAACTTTATATATATAATTCTTCTGCGCGTATGTATGTGACTGAAATCGTCCTAAAAGGCTGGACCGGATTCGATGAAATTTTCTGCGTGTATACATGTGGATTCCAGAATCACAATTTTTTTTAAGGTTTGAATTTACAAATTAAAAAAATCACTATACAGGATAACGTCTGTCGGGTCGTATATCATATGTTTTGTTCTAAATTGTTCATTATTAACCAAACACAATAAAATTATTGGTCGATCGAAGGTATGGAACGAATATTATCTCTTAAAACAATTCGATGCTAATAAATAATTTTGCATTATTTATAATGTACACGTCAATTAAACAATCAAATAATTAAAAAAATCATATCCAAATGGGTATTACTTTTGTTTTTATAATTTTTTCCTTTGCCTTCAAACATATTCATACTGCACTTAAGAGATACGATTTTTTGCGACGTTTTCTTCTTCTGACAGAATCACGACGATCACCCTAATAACAGCTAAGAAAATTATAATTCTTTTATTCTGTACATGGCACGCCAAACAATGTCAAACAGTGAATGTAAATAAAACATTGTTTTATTTGCGTTCAACACATTGTTCAGCGTGAGCTCTTCAGGTGCACGAGTTCAATATATTGTCACTGAGCCTCGTCTATGTTGCAATATATTGACTCTTTTGTTCTTCGCGTGTTTGCCCGGATACAGGATACCCTTTATCTCCAAACTTATGTTAAATATTATCGTTAAACGATAACTTCTACAACGATAACGTTTGGTATTATTAACATAACTAATCAAGGATCCGTTATGAGTATTATAAATTGTTTTATACTATTATCACGGCAAGGTCGCGCTCAGTCGGTACCTTTAGAACATTTTAGGCAATTATTATTAAGCATATATTCGAAAAGAAACATATACGAGTAAAAACTAACAAAAACACAATATCATATATTATAATAAATTTAGCAAATTTGTGAACTATGGGGTTCACAAATTTGCTAAATTCTAAACTCAAAATCAAAATAGTATAATTTTGGGCGTCCAATGTCGATGAATATAATTCCTAACAAATCTTTATTTAAAAATACTGTTATTATAGATATTTTTGTATTACAGATATTTTTATGTATTTTTAAAAATTAGATGCTTTCTTTTACGGTTTCTTCTCTCTTTTATCTTCTATCTTTTAATATTTTAAAGTATATGACAAAGTCCGTATATGATGTGTATTATCAATGTTTGAGTGGAATGACAAGAAGGGATGACCAAATAATTTTTTATTAATTCTACTTTAATAATAAATACGTACTTATATTATTAATGTGCATATAAATTTGTTTACTACGTTTTCACGCCTAAACTACTCAACCGATTATCTTGAAAATTTGTATACATATTCATAGATTTTCAAAAGGACATAGCATTATTTCTATTAAAAAAAATACCTATATTTAAAAAAAATCATTTAAGGGTTCCGCAGACGAAAAGCTAGTATATAATATACTTATATAATAATCGAAAAATGCGAACGTCGACGTTTTTATCATTGCGTTAGAGGTCATAATTATGCGAGCGAAATATTCCGATAGTAAACCCATTTAAAGAGCGGCATCGCTCCTGCATCCGGTTCTTATCTTCCGATACGTTACGAATGCACTTGGACTACGTGCCCGACGCGGACGTGGCAATATATCAATAAAGATTATATTTGCTGTCCCTATGGAAACATTTACATGCATACGTAATCAGTGTATTCGAGCTAATTAATAATAACCAATTATAGATTAATAAACAACTGCATACATTTAATGAAACCAAAGCTATATAAGGCTCCATTTAGGAGTAAATCGCATACATATCTTCGATAAGATTGGAGATAAACTTTATGACGATATGCACTGTTGAGTGCCATATTCGATATATGACGACGAAAACATCTGAAATTCGAGTATAAACTGTAAACATTGATTCTTGCTATCTTTGCGTACATTTCTCAATAAACATACTCTATTACTCGTTTGTGCGCAGTGTTCTTGAACATGCTTCACAGTTATGGAATCCATACTTCAATGTATACATGAATAGATTAGGAATTATTAAAACATACAACAAAATATAGGTGTTTTGACCACATTTATAATTCCAGGTGTAAAAGACACCATTTGTGGGTTCGATCCCCTCTACTGGAAAAATATTGTGTGATGAGCATAGTGTTTTTCTAGTGTCTGAGTGTATGTACATGTATAATGTCTATTTATATGTCTATCGGTTTTCTAGTACCCATAGTACAAGCGTTGCTTAGTTTGGGACTAGAGAACGTTGTGTAAAAAGAATGTGTCCTAAAATATTTATTTATTTATTTATAGAAAGCTGATAAAATATTTAAGCCCTCCTCTATTAAACAAAGTACGGTTTGTAACTTTACGCAACAACCATGCCTTTTGACATCAGATTACTGAACTAAGTGTAGACAAAACTCATTCTTCTGAT